GTTTGTAAATCACTTACCTGAAACTAGCTTTCTGTCCACGGATCTCAGCTGGACTTCGCGATGGTGTGAGGCATGTTCTTGGTCACAAAGCCAGGTTCTCTGGATCTACACAGTTACATTTTACGGCCGGTGATTCCTGCGCTGTCCCAGCTCAGGGAATAGCGGTTTTGCTGTTTGGCACTAAACTTCCCCTAGTGATGCATAACATAAACATAAAAACTAAAGATTGATTACTCTGTCCCAAAGAACACCGACACATTTCTCTATTTCGGGTCGATCAACGAAATTTCAAGCCAATTATGTTTCCTGAAAATTTCACCCCATCGATTCATGGATTGCGGTCTAACAAACTCTTTTATTTTTTTTTCCTGGGGACTTCTGCCAAGCCCAAATATTGCCGTGGTGTCCCAAACTGATTTTGCACAATTTTTCACATACACCTAAAAAGACCATTTGTTTTGCCTTCTAACAGGAGCTGGGTTGCTTACTAATATGTGGCTGTTTTACTCAGGCATTTATTACAGTTTGATTAAGTTCTGGACCCTGCCTTGGTTCAGACTTACAACAATTAATACTTTGGAAGATCAAAATCAAGGTTTGGAGTTTGTAAATAAAGCCTGAGCAATAAAAATTAAAAACAACCGGTGAACATATGTTTAAGCTGGTTTCAACAACAACCGTTTAATGTGAATGTTTTCCTGCTACAGCCGCAGGCATCCTCGTTCTTACAGAAAGCACCAAAGCAAGCAATGACGCTTTCAGCTGAAAAATTGATGACTTGACAAGAAGTACTGCCTGTTTTTTTGGAGTGCAAATGGTCCTGACACTCTGTATATTTCTCGCTACCTTGTCTCATCAGTTCTAACTAAGGCCTCGATCGAGAACACGCCCATACCCCTTATCTGTGCAGAATTCAGGAGAGGTTAATGACTAGTATATAATGGACGATATCTTTGATCCTGACCCAGAAAATTCCCTTTCAGAATGAGGCTATATTTACCTGCGCTTTACGCGCTAGATTACTCGAAGCGTCTTTGGGCTAGCTGGCCATGCCCCTACCCTTATACTGCATTCCATTTTTTGTGGAAATTTTTGGCGGCCAGCATGTAATATAGCTCATTTGAAAGAGCTTTTTCTTTGACGACAAGGAGCACTAATTGGTTTAAACTAAGTTCCATTCCTGTGAAGATGATCCCAGGGTCTCCAAATTGAATGCTTTCGATCATTTGCCGACTTTGGAACCTCATAACTTTTTACCGTTATGCTGCATCCCGTTTGATTTTATTACATATTTGGAATCACGCATACGGTGAGTCTGATATACCATCACCAGGCTGCTCAAAGTTCGATGCTTAAGTTCAGATCTTCCCTAGTGAGACCTGAAAGGTGCTGGGGCATCACAAGCGAAAGGCAGCTGGGCTTTTGCTATCGCAATACCTACACAGACCTGGTCGTAAACCCTAATAAAATTTTGATCAAATCGTCTGATTCGATAAATACAGCTCGCTCACACCACCACCTCCCTCATGAAGGCCTCCGCACTACGATAACGGACACCTTTTAAGTGAGCCATCGAACGGTTGCAGCATAATGCCTGCTAACAACTTTCGATCATTCTTTGGTTTTCAATATTTTACCGGACGTTTTATTAGGCGCCGGGCCGCTGTGACCCAATTCTCTCGATCTCGGTGGTCATCTGGTCGAAATTTTCATAATTTAAAGTCTAAGTACCATCAAAATTGGTTTATAACTCCAAAGATAGTATCAGAATTTTTTTTAAATTCAAGCGTTTTCGCGTCCGTAACGACAGTAAGATCATGCGGCACCCGGTTCGCGGTGCAGCGGCATTTGGCGATTACGCCAGGAATCACAGCATGGGGCCGTGGACCAGATTTCGGACTTCTTCTAAATACTGACGTGAAGCGTCAGGACGATTTTTAAGCGTTAAAATCTATTTATCTTCCTAAAAACGGCGGATACTATTGAGCATTATAGAGCAGGTCACTGAAAAAGGCTTTATCACGGCTGGGGGCGGACCTCTGGGGCATATACAATGGCGATGAAGATTACTTGTCGTCACATCTGCATCCACTGACTTTGTCTAACACTGGCTGCGTCTGCAGCGCTTTCGCCTCATTCCCGACGCCGCGGTTCGGGAGATGACCAGGCGTAGGCGGGCACTGACTACAGATTGGGCACACCTGGAAAAGCCGGAAGGATTATGGCTCAGCAAAAACAAAATTTTTGGGTTTCTGAAAATAATTGTATTAAGGCCTTCAAAATAAAGCTATATTAGGAACTGGGTAATGAATTAAATACAATATTTTGGCCTTCAATGGGATATCAAAGGCAAGCTGGCCGAGATGTGGATTGGATGGACCAGAATGGCGCGAAACGTGATTTGGCTATCGTGGACAGCTTCACAAAGCTGATACCTTTGCAAAATCCATTAAATTATACAGTTCAATCAAATTTTATTGAGAGCCGAGCTAGCTTAGCGATCACTAGGGAATTGCAGGGTTTCTTGGGTACCAACCGAGGCGGAAACTAGCCGAGATTTTTAGGACTTCGTAGGAGCGATGGAGGGTTAAATTTGGATTTGGACCCTTGCCAAAATTTGCTTTTTTGCTTGATTTTTGATTTTGGATTTTTTGAGCAGAGATTCTTTGGGAACATCGTATTGGAAGAATGGAAAAAAATGTCTAGGTTGGTTTTGTTTTATCGAAACGAAATTTTTTGTCGAAATCTGAATTAAATAGCAAGTTTATTAATAATATCATGCCCAATAAGTCATTTTTAGAGCACAAGGCTGATTAGCAGAAATCTTTAGGAAAGTGTCCTTTCATTCTTTCCTGAATTAGTAAAAGCATCCTGATGTACTGGAGCAGCTGTAAAAGCCTCTATTTACGAAAATCTAAACAGGTCGTTTTTGAAGGAATTCTTAAAGAAAATCTCTCCTGGTTGATTCTGGGACAGGGTAGCCAAGATTCCTTAAAATTATCTCCCGAAAGCTATTTGATTTGAAAGCTTGAGGCAGGCTAGCATAGATTCTTTCGGAAAAATTTTTCAAAATCCTTACCCTCTCCGCCCTTCTCCTCAACTCCCAAAAGGTGCACGTGCTAATTTTGCCCGGGCCGACCGCCTCAGAAAAGGAGCATCGCGACTCGGCGGGCTGCAGGAATAGGCAGACGATTAGCAGGAAAATCGAGACAACGACTTGCAGGGGCTTCATCTTCCGAATGTCGACAATTTCCGCAGCTGGCAACGTCCTCTTCTTTAATAAGCTGGGCCCCCTAGGGGCGAATGGAGTAAACAAGTATGGTATGGCGGCCCGCGAGACAGCAACAAAACTGTTTGTTCCGCTCGATGAGGGAGAAGCAGGAAAGGATAGGCCATGCGGGGGTGCAGCGAAAGATCCAAGATTGACCAAAAACGCGCCGCAAGAAAACAGCACAATTCAGGGTGGGCTTTGAGGCTTGTGACGTGGCGGTGATGGTGGAAATTCTATATTTTGCTCAGAATTTTGTTGGCGATTTTAAAGGTGGAATGGTGCATAAATAGCCGAATCGCAACGTCGAGAGCTCCTTAAGGGGGTCAAGGGTTACCTGGCAGGCCCACCACCCTTGTTGGCCAGGTATTGACAGTGTCAACAGCTGCGCGTCGCTCCTAACGATCACGAATGCCCACGAATTCCGCAGAAGGGACCGATCGGAACGATAGTTACACCATTTGAAACCCCTTGAAACGGCGAGTTCGCACAATTTTCAAAACATTGTATTTATTTAAACCCGCTATTTTACGAGCCATTTTGTAAAACTTTATGGTTTTTCGGGGTTGCATACGAGCCCATTTGCCTCAATTTCTTCAAGCAAAATGACCGGAAGAAGCCGTTAATGAAATGCAGAGGCCGTTCTTTAGGTTTTTACGTTCAGGGAGGAGGGAGTTCAGGAGGGGCCGTGTACTCGTCCTAACGTGTACACCCTATGGACGTTGGGACCGCGCGCGCTGCCTGCCCGTGCCGTGGAAGGCGATTCCGGCCCCCGGCCGCGGCAAAAATCTTTGCTTTCTTGCCCAAAAACGTCACTGAACGTGCCCTTTAAATAAAAATGTGGTTCTGAAAATCTTTGCGAACTCGCCTTTTCAAGAGCTTCCGAATGGTATAATTATAATTTTGATCGGACCCTTCTGCGTCGAGTTAGAGGGGGTGTTTTTTATTGGAACACCCTGTATAGCTCGGCAGCTACTCACCAATCCAGAAGACCCGTGTAAAAGCAATGGAAGCTTTTTCGGAGACAACGACGGCGTCGCTTTATGGGCGTAGGCGTGCCATAAACTCGAAACAAATAAAAAATATTGCAAACTTGGTACAACGACGGTTTGATCGATTCGAAAGCACATTGACGGAGCTTAGTAGAGTTTCTTTGGGAATTTTTTGCGGTCCGGGTTTGGACCAGGAACGGTCAGAAGATCTCAGCGAGCAGCATCCGAACCAATGAGTGTTAGCAAAACCGTCTGGTTTTTAGCAAAACCAAGCGCTTGTAGCAATTTGTGCATAGGCGCGTTCAACTAGTTCAATAAAAAATTTTTGAAGACTGCTAGAACTCTGGAACGCACACTGTCAGCCCAAGGATGGGGCCCCCAAGAACGCGCGGAGATAGGCGTCATTAGTGGTGCCCCGTATTGGGAAAAGGCTCTCTGGGGTTTTGGGGCGCCTCTGACTCCCCTCCCAACTTGGCTTTGTGGTATAGTGGCTAGCGCGTCGGACTGTGGAGCGAACTATCCCGGGTTCGATCCCCGCCCCGTGCGCAACTTTCTTGCTTTCGACGGAATTTCATCGTTCTGAAGGCCTTTATAGACGAAAAACACGAAACAGAAACATGCAAATATCGAAATTTTTATAGACTTGATGGCCTGGCCAAACCAGTGCGGATTGCAAGCTGCATACTCTTCAGGCCGAAATGATATCGACAATGCAACAAAAAGCTTTATTAACTTTATCAGCTGTTAGTATCGATTTCCTCACCCGGGCAGACGATACTCTTAAATTCCTCATCCGTACAGGTGCAGGCCGTGATCTGCGTGCAGCATTTCTGGATGACCAGGCCGTGGTCCATGTCGGTGGGCGGGTCCTTTTTGCAAACCTAAAATCTGATTAAGCCAATTTAATTTTCGATATTTGATGCAAAATTTAGGGGAAATTAGTAAATTACGATATGCCAAATTGACCTATTTTCAAAAATTGTTGTTCAAGTGTTAATATAATAAGTTTAAATTAGAAACCTTCTAAAATAACCAACAGCCTGGCTTCGTTCCTCGATCTCCTCCTTGAAACACGTGCTGTAAGCGCCTGGGCGAACGGCTTCCTCGAGCGTACAACGGACCCCTGTAGCCGAGGAAAAATCGACGAGCAGGAAAAGAGTTGTAGAGACTACGATAAGCTCACGAAGAATCGGCATTTTTGGCCAAAACTCGAAGTGAGCCCCGGTCTAAAAACGGCAATATATGACGGCGCCGAAATGAGATGCGGGCAAAATTGTTTCTGACGGGTTTCCGCGTTTAATAAATGCAATATCAGACGCCTTCATGCTCAAAATCGGAGCCTGACGTGAAATGGTTGATTTGGAGGGGCTGACAAGGGGACATTTTTTAGTAACAATCGAGTTTCCGTATGGAACGAGGGCTATTTTGTGCAGAATTTTGCGCGGATTCCGAATCTATTTTTCAAAGTTGCGAACGATCAAATTCAAAAAGTTACGAGGGTTTTGTGGCTTGAAAGGCTTTGGAAGGCCATTTTAAACGTCTTGCGACCGGAAAAGTCGCAATTTTTAAATCTGATCGTTTCGCAGATATTTGGTAATCAGCTTCGGAATTAGCGCAAAAATCTGCACAAAATAGGCTTGGTTCGATACGGAACCGCAATTGTCACTAACATTCTCTTTGTGAGAGTTGAAAGGCATAAGGCCAAGCCGGTTACGCTATTAAATGTGGTGAAACGGAGTAGCCATTGTTCGGCTTTATAATCGATGAAACTGATCTTTAGATGGTTGGATCTTAGTCATGGAGAAAGTTATAGTATTAATTAATATTAATATTAATAACATATTAATAGGCCCGAGCTCTCGTGAAGGCATAAAAGGACTTCAGACGCATCAATCGGCGGGCTGAAAAACGCAACTGAATCATGATGACCGGAAGTACGGACCCACCGCTTTGGAAGGACGAGTAGACCATGCCGCAAAGCCGACGCCGCATCCAACAACTGTATTTTATAGTAGACATTGATTTCCTTCAAATTTCTCCGAGTTGTTATTTTAATCTGTTTTCGCAAGAGTAAAATTTCTTCGAAATCACATTCAACCGAAAACGCCGTCCCTTCCTTCCGAACGTTGGACCGCAGTGGCGAAAACCAACAAATTTTCGGAATGTTTCTTCCGGCGTATTTTTTTGGGCATATTCGAAAATCACCTCTTTAAGCTTTTTGAAACCTAGGTAGCTGCGGAAGAGGAGGCAGATACGCCTAAATTGAAGGAAAATGGAGCTGAGGCAAGACAGATTTTTTTTTCTGAAAACTACATGGAATTTGAGGCAATCAAAACAGAACACTTTTTTTCGCGTTAAATTGTCATTTTTCGTTCCATCTCTGATCATCATTGAAGACGCACATCATCGAACCACTGGTCCCATCTTTCCCACCGACCCCTCCGCTGCCCAATAAAAACACGAAGATGGCCATAGACGAATGGCCATAAAGCACTGTCAGTGTGCGCGCGTTTCCAAACAGCGCCAATTGACGGGCCCATTCCCATATTCGGTCCCTGCCGCTGCGTGCCAAAACCCACAAAAGAGCAAATTTTATTAATTTTTTGGCTGCTGTACTCGGGTCCTGGAATAATATTTTTGCAATTTATGCGGTCTTTGACCATGTTAGCTGTTTTTAAAAGCTCTGTGGCTTCAAAATTGAGATAAAAACCAGAGAGCAGCATTCCGTACGGCAACAGGTCAAAATAGGACGTGGAAAACCGAAATTTGGACGGTCTCGGAAAATCTGAGCACGCCGAACATCTCCTCCGCTCTGCTTCAACAATACTCAGAATTACCTACCGTAATCGGATATCTACTTCTAAAAATCCTACAGTACTCAGAAGCTACTAAATTTCAATTCTTACTGTATTTTATATTCTTTCAATTTCCTACTGTGTTTTGCTATTTCATTAATCAAATCTAATTTGCATAATGTGGCTACGGGTTTGGATTAAGGTAATTTTTTTACTTTTGACATTGAATCTTCAAAAAATAACCACTCAAATATTAAAAGGATTTTACAAATTTCAAATTTTAAGGAAAGGAATTCACTTAAAATGAATTCTATAATTTTCCCAAATCGTGGATAATTAATTTTATCCTGAAATTAAAAATTGGAAAAATTTTAAATTATGTTTCAGAAATTTCAAAAACTTAAATAATTCCGCTAATTTTGAAATGTGACGATAAATCAATCAGTTGAACAAAATCGCAATTTGGAAAAGATGGGATTTTCCCAGCAATTAAATCTGAAAAATTTAGGTAATTTGAAGGAATACAATGAAAAAGTCAAAAATTAAAAAAAAAATGATTCCCACTTATCTACGGTATTCCAGTACCTGGCCTACACGTGTATCGTAATCATCGGCGTGCTATTTTTGACGTTTTCGCTGCTGAATTTTAACGGCGAGGAGGAGTTCAATTTAAACTTGACGGGTACAGTAACTTTAGAAAGTTTTTAATGCGTTTTAGCCAGTCAAAACATTCGTAAAGTCCCACTCTTCGACACTTGTCCAAAGTACACCTATCGACACGACGATCCGGAAATATTGGCGCTGGTTGGAGAGTCGATAAACGATCGTGAGTTTTAATTTAATTAATTAACGTTTAGATAAATGTAAAGATTACCCAAAAGTACCAAATACATGACAAAATACATCAAAATAAACTAAAGAAATACGTCATGAACATAATGATACCGATTTGGTCAAAACACAAAAAGATAAAAAAATCGAGTCGAGAATTCATATAAAAATTTATTCAACAATTTTATAAGTATTTCTTTTTATTTTACAGCCCTCTGCCAGCGGGAGCCCGGACCAACTTACCTGAAAAATGGGCACATCTACAAAAACCTGGGGTATCCGGAGGTGAAGGATTACGAATGTACTGCAAGGTATACATTGGCAATTTCAAAAAGTAAAATATCTCTCTCTCGCATCTGTCTCTCCGGTCCCCCCACCCGTTCTCTCTCTCTCTCTCTCTCTCTCTCTCTCTCTCTCTCTCTCTTCCCCACCCTCGCTCTCTGTCACTCTCTCCACATCTTTTTAACTCGCTCTCGCACTCGCACCATCTCACTGTGTATATTTCGGTCTGTTTGTCTGTCGGTCTGTCTGTCTCTTTCTCCCCTTTTTTCTCACTCTCACTCTCTCATATCATCAACTCCCTTTTCCAGATGCGCATTCTACGGCAGCAACTACGAAAACAAATACGGGCCGGAGTGTCGCGTAGGCGTGAATTGTACAGCGTTCAAGTGTGATATTATCGACGTGGTATGTCGCGGAATCGATGGGAACTTGACGTATTTCGATATTCATACGCAGATTTTTGAGCACAGGTTAGACCTCCAAATTTCGCAAAGTTTCCGAATTTTAGTCGAGATCGAAAGGCGGTGTTTGGAGATCGGTATCGACCCGGGAAGTCACCGAAAATCGAGCCGAACAAGCACTTTTATCCTAATGTCCATATTTTTATTTTGGACGCTGCGGGAAGATTTCCGGCTTTTAGGTATACTTTTTGAAATCGCGAAGAGTTTACTAGAGTTTAATAAACCGTAACCGTAAACGGCAAGAATCAAAATTTTGTCGACCTCCATGATGCGGTGATTTTGCATTTCCTTAAAGTTTTTACGTGTAGGTATAGTAAAAAACTGCTTAGAAACCCTTTTACATAATTGAATTTTTCTAAAGCTACCCATTTCCATAGATATTTCTGACTTCCAAGCTCCTATAAACCACGTTTCAGGCAACTCAACCAAACGATCAGCTACCTGAAAAACGAGATGCAAGCTGTGGATTTTACGGCATTTGCCAGAGGCGGGCCAAACAGTCGCTCGAATGTTTTTGGATCATTTATGGGTACGCTCAAAAGCTCAAACCGCAATACCTAGTTATTTCTAGGTGATTGGGAATACGAGATAGAGCGATCGATGTACGGCGGCTCGACACTTCCGATTACCATAACCGACGATTTGTGCGCCAAGGGGCTGGATGAACGCCCTTATATACAGTATGAATACGAGGTAAATTGAACGCGCATTAATAGAAAACCTAGGAAAAACACTAAGAAAAGGGCGAAAAAATCGCGTTCTGTTGGCGTTGCAGTGCAACCGTGCTAGAGCAACAAGTGTAACGTCCTTAGACGCCTCTCGGTTGAGCATATCTTTTAAAAGCACCACTTTCTAGCTAAAAACCGAGTTTTGTGCAGAAATATCGTTGTTAAAAGCTTGAAGGACCAACGTTTTTAAAAGTGCTAAAAGCGGAAGGCTCAAAACCTAAAAAAATGCCATTTAGGACGCCGGCTACCGTACGATGTTTGCGCAAGATTATTTCCTAGTGCTGTGGGGCTACGTGGAATGTGCGGGGATTGCCGCCCAGCTGGCCACGCATTACATGAGGTAAAACGGGTGAGAAGTCTTTGCGAAACTTCAAAAATGCTTATATAGCTGATTTTTGGTCTGCGAGTTCCTTTAAAGGGATAGTGAAGTAATGGCCGTGGATATAGGCGTGTCCGCTAAAGAACTTTTCATGTCGTAATCGAATAACCCCTTCGCGGCAAACCAACCTCTTTGCGCGCTGCGTGTCGCGCTCGCGGCAAAATTAAGAGAGACGCCTTACCCGCCCCCGTTAATACGAGGCAGAGCAGAGATACTTTGTCTATAGACGATTTTCTATAGGATTTTGACTTAAAAAGCCCTTTAAACTGATCCAACCCCCATTTCAGGCCCTTCCAACTTCTTACAATCAAGGAATGGGACGTTTGGAATCCGGAGTAAGATTTTCCCTGGGATCTTGGATACCGTCATTTAGGCCACTCGAAAAAGTCGGGTACCAATACCGGGACGATGCTCTGCTGTCAGCCCACCTCAGGAATTGGTCACAATGTGGCTCAAACTTTCAGCATGTCGTCGATTATACGTCGAAATTTATGAAGTCTTATCCAGGTACGGTTTTTCAGATTTTCGGGCCGAAAACTTTTGTTTTTATCATCAAAAGCTCCAAAAGGGCAAAACGCTTTTTTGGCTGCTTTTCAAATACGTCAACTAGTTTTTATGATTTTTCTGTATCTCCTATCGGGTTTTATTAATTCATAAAAATAGCCTTTAGCTGATCTTTATTCCTTTTAATAACAATAAAGTCATTTTGCTGGCATTATAGATATTTTTTCCAGACCAACCAAAAATGTCGATCAGCTGGACGGCCGAGGCGCACGACTCGGAGACAGGGCACCGCAATTCGGATAAGTACTACCTGGACATGCTGAGAACAAATAAGAGACAAGTACGGCATAAGTTTTCTAAATTGTCTCAAATGCGCCAAAAGCTTCCATTACTTTGGCTGGACAGAAACCTACGCAAAACGCCAAATGACGCTAACGAATTTTTATGCTGAAAGTTCTTAATGTCCAATTTATGAATTTTGACATTTTGAACGTAACGGATTTTCCAAACCTTGGGCGGGTGAAGTTTAAGTATTTCGGCCCGCGCCTACCTGTCTAGACCTAGCCAACAAAAGGGGTCGATTTTCGCTGGTCTGATCTTTTAAAGGTGTTTTCAAGGCAGCATACTAGCTAACGACACAGACAGATACTCCCGGTCAATTTTGGCTCTTTTTTGCGTTAAAATCCGCAATATGCGGGCCAGAAAGTGGATTTTGCAAGAATTTTCGGATTTATAGTCCTGTAAATTGCATCATTTAATGCAGGAAAACATTTTAATATGGAGTGGTTTTTAGGAATCAATACCAGAACCTAACAAATGATATTTTAGCTAGATGATGCGATCTTGATCGTGATGGGCGACCACGGGCAGCGATTTGGACCGGTAGCTACGAGATAACCACTGAAAAATTGGAATTTAGGTAGCCAGCACCGACCAGGGCAAATTCGAGATGAACAACCCGCTGCTCCTCGTTTCGTTACCTAAGCGATTGAGGTTTTAAGCTACCTTAAAAACACTCATATCATTAAGGGACTCAAAAGTGGCGAAAATGCTCCAGAAAAATAAGGACGAGCTTATGAGCCATCATGATTTGCATGCCACATTTATTGATATTATCCGGGTAGAAGCTTTACTTAACAAAGCCAATAAATTTTATAAAATGACACCCAAATTCGTTGAAATAAAAGTTATAAGTTTAAACATATGAATTTCAAAATATCGCTTTTTTTTTAATTTTTAAGACGGTATTTTTACAAAATTTCCCCAAAACGCTAGTTACAAGTTAAAGCTTAAAACATCAAAATATCCGAGTTTAGCACCAAGCCCCGGCCGATTTTGGGGAAACGGACTTCCGGAAAATTGAAGGTAGCCAAAAAACGCGCTTCTTACGGTAATTTTGCTAATTTAGGGAGCATTGGAAATTCTCTACTACGTGATCTCGACCCGAATTCCCCAAGATCCTGCAAATACCAGCCGATTCCGTCGCAGTACTGTATCTGTGACTATGGGCAGTATGAGGCGCTGAATCGGTGAGAATTCGGTAAAAAAAATTAAAATTCAACATTTTTGAATCAAATTTATTTCATTAAATTTTATGAAGCAAAAATTTGATTCCCTACTGTAGGCGTAGATGTTACGTTAGGATTAAAAACCTTGATTAAAAATATTTTCAAAATTCCTAGATCCCGAAAAATAAAAATGGCGAGCAACATCATATTTACATTCTTTTGTATTTCCGATTTTTGTATTATTTCAGAAATGACACGATGTGGACGGTGCTGCCGAAAATGATCGAAAACGACGCGGCCGAATATTTGAATCAGCATGAGCTAGTCGAGTTGTGTGATGATATTACGGTAGCAAATGTAAGTCATCAAATATGTGGAATTTTAAATCAATGTTATAGCAAAAAAAATTTAGAAAAAGCTAAAACTAAAACGAATCAACTAAAAAACAAATAATCTAAAAAAACTGTACCATCGAGTTATCGCGCTTTTTCCATTTTTAAGGTTTTCTAAGTTTTCGTCAGGATGTGGCCTCCTTCGCAATTTTGTTAAAAATAATTTTTAGGTCACATCAATCTCAACGCGAAATAACGGCGGGAACGCCACCTATTATAATGTGGAATTTTTCACGACAAATGCTGCTCAATTTCAGGTGCTCTACAAATCTGAAGTTTTATTTGAATAAATGGTTCTATTTTTAGGTTTCCTACACCTCAACAGACGGTAATATCCAAATGGCGCCGGTTGACTTCATGAGATTAAACAAGTAAAATATGCTCCGAGATTCTAGTTTTCGCATTTTCAGATATGGCAGCGCGGCATCTTGCCTTCCCTCCCGCTTGGCCATGTACAAACCAGTGTGCTACTGTAGAAAGCACTAAACTAGGGCTTTATAGAATTTGGCTTGATAATTATCTGTACAGCGAGATTTCAATAAATGTTTTTGACCCCGTTTGGGAATGGTTATGCTCTGAACGCCACATCATGCTCGATTTTCAGCTCTTCGATATCAAAAAAAATACGTTTTCACCGTGTACCATACCCTCCAATTATTTTTCACAATTCAAGAACAATCGGAAACGGGCTGATTGAAGACGAGCATCAATGAGCAAAGATGCCCTTCTGGCGGATGTCCGTGTCGGCAATATGCCCTTCACACTGCAAAGTAATTATTATGCTCTATGGATCGCCTATATCCTTACCCTTATCTGCTCCATATCCTCAAGCCGGACATCCGTCAAAGCTGCCGGCAGCTCATAGTATCGCGGAATCCAGGGCATGTCATCTGCCGTATCGTAGGGGTATCCATAGCTCAGCAAAAGAGTTCGCTCCGTGAACACTCTAAATTATTTCACGTGACTTGCTCGATACCCTAGAAACCTGCAGCACACCAAAACTCTTCAAACACCGAAATCTCGAGCGGTTCACAATGCTACACCTACTTGATGCGGAAAATCAGCCTCTGTGCGTGTATATGAAAGAGCCATTCACGAGACGATATGGGCGCCTGGAAATTGGAGGACTGCCAGAGCACGGCAACGCTTGAAAATCAATCCGAGGCAGGGCTTCTACAAGGTGTCCCAAAAATACCCGGATAAAACGTCGGTAAGCAAAACGTGCTTGTACCGTTTCACTTCTTTGGAATTCGGTCAGGTTATTGCTTGAGCGACCGAATCAGGTTATCGATAATAACCGACGAAACATACTACGGACATTTTACTCCAGGATAGGTCGACTAAAAACAGTGACAGGTTTGATTCTGACCTGTTTGAGCCCCGTAACGGATTGTCGTGCGAGCAGTTTGCAAGGGGTCAGAAACCTCTGTAACCTTCTTTGCGTTCTTACAAAAGCCTGGGGCACCTTCGCCAAGTTTTTTTCAGCGGCACAATTTTCAAGGCTACTCAAAAGATAGGAAAGATGAGATTGAGATGACTCCGTGTCAAGAGATTAGAAAAAACTAGAGAAAAATCACTTTAAAAAGTGTCCTGGTATGTTTGGGTCACCCGGTATGTGTAATGATTAATTACCTCGCCGCGAGCATTGGAGGAAAATGTGGTAAGTTCAATGGGACTAGGGCGATTCATATGCGTTGTGTTCAGGAATACCACGGCCCCATCTTCGGTTTCGAGGGCGCAGGACCACCTAAGCCAATCAACTATAATAATTTTCTTCAGGCGTCAGTGTGTCAGGTCGTGAATTCAACTTGAAGGGGAAAAGAGCTAGAGCTTAGGTCTCTTCGGATTCGGTTAGAGCGTGGTCAGAAACCCGCAAACAGATAAAAAAATTACGGAAAAGTTTTAGTTTAAATTATCAAAATTAACTTTGAAAGTTTTGTCCTTAGTAAAAGGAGTGGGGGACGGAGGTTGGGGTGATTTTGGACATAGTGAGCCAGGTGGCGCGCGTTTCGTGGATGAACATTTTCACGGGAGCCATTTCATTTCTTTTTCTCCCCGAAGCATCCGGTCAGTCGTTATTTTTGTTTTTTTAAGGGGTTTTCACCTAGGGGTGGTGTCAGAAGCCATCAGGAAGGTATTTAAGTAGTTTTTAAGAGGGTTTCGGCTAGGGCAGATATCTAGAGCCATCATGAAGGTGTTTAGGTAATTTGTTTATGGGAATCTCGGCTATGGGGGGAGAGGGGGTGGTATCCGAAGCGGTTAGCGTGGGTATTGATGGAGGTAGGGAAGGATGTGGCGGTGTAGGACATGTAGGGTAGCCCGAAGGCCAGATGACTACAGTCGCGAAGCGACTGGAACCATCTGGTAATGTCTGATTACGAGACAAAGAAAAGGGGAAGCATCCGAAAACAAACGCCGGGGGGATATTTTTTCCCTTCCTTCCGGGGGGTTGGGGGGGTCACGTCTCCCATCCCCCCCCCCGGGGGGGCCTTTCAAGGGTTGGGGGCCTTTTCGAAAAATCATTTTCCATTTACCCATAGGCTGACAGTAGGCTTATTATTCGCCTGGGCCGCCAGGAAGACGAAGGGTAACACCGCGAAAAGGTGATGAAACAGCATAATCGGCGGCTGCTCTGGAAACGTGTTTCTATCGCAACTACAGGGTGTTCCACAAATCGGGATTTATGAATGAAATAGCATGGGGACTAGACGGGGCAAGGGTGGAAACACCGCGAAGCGGTTTTTCAGCTCTGGTTGATATCTAAATCGTCAGAATCGGACACTTCTCTGGCCCGCTAGAGCGGGACTGATTTTTTTTTGGGACACCCTGTATTTAGGGTAGTGCCAAAATCAAAAACAACTGGGGGCCCAGCGATCACAAAGAGATAAGTGTTGTCGGCAGGGTTTCTGTGAAAAAATGCTACTGGGTCTGTTTTATGCCGACTTCGACGGCGCGCTTTAATCACGAACAGTTGGAGACCAAACAGCGGGACTCGATTTGGCCGTCTCGAGACAAAACTTGAGAGGCGAAATGATCTGCTGATTCAGAAATGGCCTGCAAGTCAATGTCTCCGAGAGGGTCGTTCTGCTGGTTTGCAAAGTGGGGAACACTACCAAATGAAATATTTGCGTTAGCTGGCGATGTTTACATATTTATTACAAACTGGGCCAACGTTATCAGAGAAAATATAGAAAATCTGCTCCGTCAGGATGTCTCCGAGCGTTTTTCCGCCTTTTCCGGCATCGTGTCTTGCATGGCTCGGCCCTTTGTTTCCGGGATTACTGCCTGAAAGGGATGCCATTTTTAAATTATCGCGACGTTCAAAACGATTTTTTATTTTTATACCTGGAAAGAAATTGCATCTAGCGCGGCCATGACGGCCATGATAATGAAGGGCAGTGGTTTCCAGGTGAACTGAAAATGGCTTATTTTTCTGTTAATTGTCAAGTCGAAGTATAGGTAGTTTTCGCTTACATAAATAAACATTTGTGGTGCCAGAATCGTTCCCAATCGGCTGAGGGTCGAGTTGAATGAGATGCCGATATTCCGGATGACAGAGGGGAAGTATTCCATTGCCGCGATACCTTTCGAGAGGTACACCTGGAAGGCATGACCTGACTCAAGGACCTAATCGATGGACAAAAACTAGCGGCCACCGCCATAATATACAGATGACCGGCTCGCGACCGTAGGGCCACTAGATTTTTTAAATTGTCGTTTGGAAGTTGAAGTATTTTGTATTCAACTAGTAATAACTAACGCCTTGATGGGAAAATGTTTTTAGTGAAATAAAACTGTATTTTAAATATAAATAATATATTTTAAATAGAAAAACGCTCTAAAAACTGTGCCAAATTATCATAATGTCGAAATTTTCCTCAAAAAAACGGCCGTTTTGGTCAAACAAATCTATATTTTTTTGTTTTTTTTTAATAAAAATCTGTAAAGTTTTACGTTCAGGAATTGTAAAAAACGGTTTATACACACTTCGCCGATTTATGTTTTAAAAAGTCCCCCCGATAATGCGAAATAAATGGACTTTTCCCTACTAAAGCCCAAAAACCATCCACCTTATCGTACCTGTGAGCATACGGCTGTGGCGACGATAGTGGCTACTCGGATAAACATTGACCACTCGTGGGACATCCCTGAAAAATTAGCATAGTCTCAAAAAGGCAAAAAACGTGCTACCACGTGGGTGCAGTGCTACCACGTGGGGGCAGTCAGTGCTACCACGTGGGCGCAGTGCTACCACGTGGGGGCAGCGCTACCAGGTGGGCGCAGAGCGCAGCTGTTCGGCTTAGGCTTAGGTTTAGGGTTATGTTTTCCGTTGGGCTTAGGCATAGGCAAGTGCGTCCACGTGGTAGCACTGCGCCCGCGTGGTAGCACTGCACCCACGGTAGCACGTGGTAGCACTGCGCCCACGTGGTAGCCCTGCGCCCACGCGGTAGCACTACGCCTACGTGGTAGCACTGCACCCACGGTAGCACGTGGTAGCGCTGCGCCCCGTGGTAGCACTGCGCCCACGTGGTAGCCCTGCGCCCACGCGGTAGCACTACGCCTACGTGGTAGCACTGCACCCACGGTAGCACGTGGTAGCACTGCGCCCACGTGGTAGCACTGCGCCCACGTGGTAGCACTGCGCCCACGTGGTAGCACTGCGCCCACGTGGTAGCACTGCACCCACGGTAGCACGTGGCAGCACTGCGCCCACGTGGTAGCACTGCGCCCACGTGGTAGCACTGCGCCCGTGGTAGCATTGCCACGTGGTAGCACTGCACCCACGGTAGCACGTGGTAGCACTGCGCCCACGTGGTAGCACTGCGCCCACGTGGTAGCCCTGCGCCCACGCGGTAGCACTACGCCTACGTGGTAGCACTGCACCCACGGTAGCACGTGGTAGCGCTGCGCCCACGTGGTAGCACTGCGCCCACGTGGTAGCCCTGCGCCCACGCGGTAGCACTGCGCCCACGTGGTAGCACTGCGCCCACGCGGTAGCACTAGCGCCTACGTGGTAGCACTGCACCCACGGTAGCACGTGGTAGCACTGCGCCCACGTGGTAGCACTGCGCCCACGTGGTAGCACTGCGCCCACGTGGTAGCACTGCGCCCACGTGGTAGCACTGCACCCACGGTAGCACGTGGCAGCACTGCGCCCACGTGGTGGCACTGCACCCACGGTAGCACGTGGTAGCACTGCGCCCACGTGGTAGCACTGCGCCCACGTGGTAGCACTGCGCCCACGCGGTAGCACTACGCCTACGTGGTAGCACTGCGCCCACGGTAGCACGTGTAGCTGCTGGTGCACTGCGCCCACGTAGTAGCCAGCCCACGCGGTAGCACTACGCCTACGTGGTAGCACTGCACCCACGGTAGCACGTGGTAGCACTGCGCCCACGTGGTAGCACTGCGCCCACGTGGTAGCACTGCGCCCACGTGGTAGCACTGCGCCCACGTGGTAGCACTGTGCCCACGTGGTAGCACTGCGCCCACGTGGTAGCACTGCGCCCACGTGGTAGCACTGCGCCCACGTGGTAGCACTGCGCCTACGTGGTAGCACTGCGCCCACGTGGTAGCACTGCGCCCACGTGGTAGCACTGCGCCCACGTGGTAGCACTGCGCCCACGTGGTAGCACTGCGCCCGCGTGGTAGCACTGCGCCCACGTGGTAGCACTGCGCCCACGTGGTAGCACTGTGCCCACGTGGTAGCACTGCGCCTACGTGGTAGCACTGCGCCCACGTGGTAGCACTGCGCCTACGTGGTAGCACTGTGCCCACGAGGTAGCACTGCGCCCACGAGGTAGCACTGTGCCCACGAGGTAGCACTGTGCCCACGTGGTAGTCATTTGTTTTTCTCTCTCTCTCTCTAGGCTATTTAGATTCGGCTTTTTCGGGTCACTTACCCAGCAAATGCACGGCGGCCACGACACATAAACAGAAACATGAGCTGGCCTGGGCGATGAAGTGGAACAGTTTCCGCCCGCACTTTTTGTATCTAAATTGATGGTCTTGCCCGTAATTAGGCGCAACTTGTAGTCGAAATATCCAAGCGTCGAGTTCAAAATCCAGCGCAGCCCGCCGAGATATGTCGAATTCAGGTAAATCGACCCGGACAACTTTTCGAGGTTGAACATTAGGCCGTAGTTGATCATGCTTGTGAAAAGCCTAAAAAATATCGAAATTATCGCATTTTGCTTGCCACAATTTTGCTATAGGTAATAGATTTTCATCAATTCTGAAAACCCGTTTTTCTCCTTTTCCGCTTTGTCATCTAACTTTAAAATGTTAGTGAAATTCATGTGGTCGGTCGAAAAAGGTGATAACAATATTTTTGAACCCACATTCCCATGCAAAGTGTGCTGGTGACGGCGGCCATTTTTTGCGTGGAAAACAGGTCGATGATGCTGTAGTTTTGTTGCTTTTTCTCGCGCGCTTCGGCTTTCTAAAAACTGTCTTTGACACCATTTTTTAATAATAAATAATGCATGCATTGCTTGAACGTCTGACAACTTACCTCAAATTCTGCTTGCAACAGGCTGGTCAGCTCTTCGCGATGCTCCGTTTTCCCATCGATTCGCTGGATGTTGAGCAAAATATGCTCGGCCTCGGCGATTCGGCCACGGCCCAGCAGCCAACGCGGAGATTCGTAGAGGAAGCTGGAATAGGTAGCGTATGCGCCCATAAAATTTCGCGCCCATCTTATCTTGAACTTCATGCTTTTCCCCGATTTTTTGCATGTCGTAACCTCTTGTATCTACGGGCTGTCCCAATAAAAACACCCTTCCAACTTAAGGCAGAAGTATCGGATCGGAACAATAATTACGCCATCCGAAAGCCCCTAAAGCCGCGAGGTTGCAACAGTTTTAAAACCATGTTTTGACACAACATTTTTACAAGCAATTTTGTGGAATTGGGGGTTTGGGCAGGTTGGATACGAGCTAATTTGTCTTAATTTCTTGAAGCAAATTGCCCGGTAGTCACCGTTACTAAGGTACAGCAGCGTTCCTTAAGATTTTGAAACGCGCCATAAAATGTCTTGTTTAGATAAAAAACTGGTTATGAAGATTGTTGCAAACTCGCCATTTCAAAGGCTTTCGAATGGTGTAACTGTCATTCCGATCCGATACTTCTGCGTCGAATTAGCTGTACCTTATTGGGACACCGGGTGGTTTTTAGTTTTATCGTTTCTCCTGACTTTACGAACGTCCTGTTAATTTTCTGATACTTTTATGACTGCGACAATCTTAAGGTTTGACTTACAAGGATATGAGTAGTGCCGGGAAGGAGACGATGACGAGGGCGATTTGGAAACTTTGCCAGTCGTGGGACAGCCACGCAATCTAAAAATCATGATAAATTTGGTGAATTTGAGAAAAAATTAGATCAGCGGCCAGCAAGCCGTTTTGGCACAAACCAAAATCCGCGCCAAAAATCCCATTAAATGCCGGGGATGAGAAGTAAAGATTCTTTAGGAAAGGATGGAAGGCAGATTGGCCAAAACACTTTACCAGAGCGTGTTTAAAAAGATAAACACAATTAAAAAACCTACACCGTTCATCAAAATAAAATTTGGGGCAAAAGAAATGAGTGCCGTGATCCAGACCCGATGATTCTTCGGCGTGTGCTCAATTTTGTAGACGGAATAAATTCTAAAATCTTGGGATTAGTTTTAGAGGTTCCTCACGTCATTTGGCCTCCATTGAAGAATCCGACAATCGCGCGGAGTACCGTAAACATCCACAGTGTACGCGCGAATACGGTGGCCACTTGGAAGACGATGCACAGCAGGAAGCAGTACATTAGCACCTCAAATGAATTTTGAAATGTTTTATACACGTTCAAAGTTTAAGATAACATTTGAATTTGCCTAAAAAAGTAGAGAATACAAAAAAAGCATACAAATTTAGTTACCCTACTTTTTTCCGCCCATACTTATCGGAAAGATGGCCGAAACAAAGCGCGCCGACAAGAACGCCTAAAAAAATTCTTTAGAAGGTTCCGCTCGAAAATTTCTTTAGGGTCATTCTCTCGCTCTATCTCTCTCACTCTCTCCCTCTCTATCTCCCTTGCTCTCTCTCCCCTCTCTCTCACTCGCTCTCTCTCTCTCTCTATCTCTCTCTCTCTCTCTCTCTCTCTCTCTCTCTCTCTCTCTCTCTCTCTCTCTCTCTGAACTTTCACAACTTAATTCCTTACCCAACATTTGTGCCGAGATGCTGGATTTCACGTACGACGAGTCGCCGCAAAAATATTCAAACTAAAAAGGTCTTGCTCAAAGAACTGATTCTCACATCTATCTGCACTGATCGAAACTCGTACTCCGTCTCGTAGGTACAATTCGTCAGCTCTCGATGCGAGATGTTCATCTTGCAGATGTTCTCGATGTAAGCGTCGTCTTGAAGGCATGAGACTCGTCGCGGGGCAGCGCCTAGGAAAGTAGCGTTTTTCTAGACAGATCTATATAAAAAAAAACATAGATATTAGCTTGGTCAGGGACGCCAAATATCTTAGGGCATTTGAGAGAGAAAAATCGAATTTTAATGGACCTGCATAGACCATGTAGACCATATTGCCCATCACCGACAGCAAGACGAACTCTGCGAAAAGGAGTACTCGAAAACAGTACCAGCTAAGGTGGACATAGTCGTCGAGCGTGGTTCTCTAAATGTAACACTAAACAATAAATAACCCCCGAATAAAAAAGGTCATGCCAACCACTTGTCATTTTGGGCCTGATCGACTTCAATTTTCGAATAGCGGTGCGGAGGGATAATTAGAATATTCAAAGAAACTTTTTTCCCGTCAGCTACGGTAGTTTTTGAGCTTTTACAAAAATAAACTTCATTGCACGTTTTTGCCGGGTGTTTCAGCGAACGCGTATGAAGGTAGGATGAAAATGATACCTCGAGGCTTTGCTTTCCTTGGAAATTTTTTCGATAATGGATTTGGAATCAAATTAGTTAAAGGGCACGTTCAGGGACGTTTTTTTGGAAAAAACGCAGATTTTTGCCGCGGCCGGGGGTCGAACACGGGCCCCCCGCTCGGGAGGCGCGGATGGATACCAGTCAGCCACAGCTACAACCTGGCGAGGGGTGAGGGGCGCCCCACGCCGCAAAGGAGGGAAATTGCCTTCTACGGCACGGGCAGGCAGTGCGCGCCGTCCCTACGTCCATAGGGTGTACACGTTGGGACGAGTACACGGCCCCTCCCTGAACGTGCGCTTTAAGTCATTTTCACAAACGAAAATCTATCCCGATATTCAGAAAAATGAGGAATTCGCGACCGGCAGTCTACGTCAATTTATGCAAAGCCCAAGAAAAGCTTGAGAACTGCCGCAAAACTATAGCAAAATGCTTGCAAAACAGTATTTTTGTTGAACTTCGAAAACCACTGTAGCTATCGGGCTAAAAAAGTTTCTTAGAACATTTTTGATTCCCTTCCCAAAAATTCAAGTGGGTCGCATTTGAAAATGCTATCGTGATGTTTTTATTGGTGCCTTATTCCGCAAAAAATTGTTTATATTCTCGCCAAAATTCGTTTCCGCCCACCCCCCGCTAGCAGAAAATCTCCCCGTTACTTACCCTGGGCTTCGATTTGTCGTCAACGAGCGGCTCGGCGTCGAGCATCGACAGAATCGGCTGGGAGGCCATTTTTCAAAAAACAAACGCGCCGCCGCTATTTGCCGTGCTCGAAATATTTGTCGATAGGTGTGTGCGGGAGTGCTGAGGGCTTACCCAACCCGCCGCCACTATTGCTACCCCGTGAAATTTCGCACTTTATGCAAATCTATGGAAAATGGCACGGCGGCTCGCGGCTGCCGGGCGGAAAGGCGAACTCTGTTTCCAATTATTTTTTCGCCTCATTGTTTCGCGGGACTTTGTGATTTGCATCTGAGTACTAGATAAATCAATTAAAACTCATTAAAATTTCAAATAATCAACAAAATGCTTAAATAAAAATTAATTAAATAATTGGCAGGAACCACTGAACTCAATTTGATTTGGCTCGATTTTCGCTTTCATCCGAGTCTTTTTAGTTACAATTGTTTTAGATAGTTATATTTTGTTTATTTAATTTTGATGCCAATAAAACGTGTTCCCGGGTTCCTCAAGGCTCGCTGCCCTTGTGCAAAAAATCCCCAAGAATCTTTGCCAGGCGACAAGAATCATACAGCAACCCCATTTTTGGAAATGTAGGAAACTGTCATTTTCTGTCGACTTTGAACTTGTAAACTCTTGCCCAATTTTATTCGCATCCCGGAATTGCAGTGGCAAAAATTGCTTAGAGGCAGAGTCCGGTGGAAACTTCGCAGGTCGCGCCGCAACTTCCGCAAGTGAAGCTGCCGGAGGCAAAGGCATCGGTGTTGAGGATATTGCCTCTGGAAAATGGAGAGATATTGGCGAGAGAGATACAGAGCGAGAGCGAGAGAGAGTAAGGAAGAGAGAGCGAGAGAGCGTGAGAGAGCGAGAGAGCGAGAAAGAGTGAGAGAGCGAGAGAGTTAGGGAGAGAGAGCGATAGAGAGAGAGATTGTGTGAGAGAAATGAAAGAGAGACAAAGAGTGCGAGAGAGAGATAGAAAAAGGGAGAGCGAGCCAGAGAGAGCGTGAGAGATAGTGAGAGAGAGACAACTGAAAAGTATAGAAAACGTACTGTCCCTGGTACTGACAGACGACCAGCACGCTCTTGTTGCTGTCACAACGCGCCGCGCCGCACCCGATTTTGGTTGTCTTCGCCCAGGCCATCTGAATACGAGGAATTCTCCCGTTTTGCTTTTTAGTGAATCTCAAACTACGCAAATTAGAAATTTTACACGGTGCGTACCAACCTGGGTGGCATGCCCGATTCCACTGTTAGCGGCCGACAAGTCGAAGGAGGGCATCTGGGGCCAGTCGATATCCTAAAGACAAAGGGCACGTGAGCGAGCGATAGAGAACAGAAAGAGGGACTGAGCAAGCAAGAGAGTGCAAGATAGTTAGGGAGAAAGAGAGAGCGATATAGACAGAGAGAGAGAAAGAGAGAGCGATAGAGAGATAGACAGATAGATAGATAGAGAGAGAGTCAGAGGGAGCGAGAGAGAGAGCGAGAGAGAGAGGAGGGGAAGCTGACCTCAAACTCGGAAGCCCAATCCTTGCAAGCCTCGAGGCCCTGGCCGGCAATCGGCAGCGTGGCCGAGCTGGACACCTTGTAGATGTTCTCACCCGTGTTGTTGAACGAGGAGTGCTAGAAAGATTGTATTTATCGTGTTTTTTACTCACCTCAAACTTGCAGCGGTTCGCCCAATTCTGGGCCTGGGTGGCGAGCGCGTTGTCCCATTTCTAAAATTTATTCTTAACTTTTTCCTAGGTATATTTAAGGGGGTTTCACCGATTCCGGCTCAAGTTAAAGTACTGACCAGCTTGCGCATGTCGGCGGTCGGGCCAAACCAGTTGCCGCGGGCCTCGTAGTGACCCTGGGCGATCTCGGAGCGCAGGTTGTTGTGGTACTGAAAAATGGGAAACATGGCTTGGTATAACAAACGTTAAGATTACAAAAAATGATCGATACCGTAGCAATTTTGTCTTCGAAAATCGATAGTTACAGCGTATTCCAACTGACGCCCATTTTAAACTAACTCTACAGTACCCAAATTCACTTCAAGACCCACATTCAGAATCGCGTCCTTGTCCGCCTGGGCAAGCTGGGCATCGGCGCCGTAGATGAACAACGGGGCGAGGACGAGGGCCAAGATGAGGGGCATTCTGAAAAGGCGCGTTTTTATGAGGACTGAACTTGTCGATAACCTGGACTCGGATGGCCCTTTCTCGACGACCAGGATTTTATACCGCTCTCAAACACAGCTGGATGCCCGGGGGATCAAATGAGTGGTTTTCCGGCTCGCTTCAGGGGTCTATTCATGTTTTTAATACAAGTTTTAGCCCATTGTTCCGGATCCAATCTCGATGCAGGAACGTTTCCGGGGTACTCTCAGCGTTCTGCCCGCAAAAATAGAGGATCAGGATCGAAAATAGCTGATCGGGCCATAGGACCAAAACCTGGGCTGGAAATGGGCTAGACTTTTCCCCCGCTTCCGCAAGTTCCTAAAATTTTTTAAGACTGTCATTAGGTAACCCTACGTCCCAGCTATCATCCCCGAGCCGGGAATTGCCAAAAAAATCAATATTCAAACTTAGAACATTAAACTGGTGTTTGGCGGAGTTTTCGTATTTTGCGTGTTTTTGCTATAACTTTTTTTTTGCGTTCTGACGGGCCGTAATTCAAATTCATAGTATATTTTTGAATGCTCTATCGAAAGACATTAAAAAAAAATTTATGAAAAATGTCGAAAACGTCGAAAACTAGCTTCTCACTCAATGTTGCCATGTAGGAACCACGTATAAATCTTGTGGCTGCAATCACTTTTTTCTTTCACAGTATTTTTAACTGAAATTAAAACACGAAGCGTATTTTTGATCCTCGAGCCGGTGGCGTCTTGAGCACAGCAAAAATTTAGCACCCCTTCTAAGTGGCCCACGAATTTAAAATTTGGCTGTGTTGCATTTTTAATTCCTTCCCTTTCCCTTATTATCCTTGTCTTCAAATCTTGTTTTGTCATCACAAAATGTTTTTAATGGTATGGTAATTTCTCGTATAGTAAAAATTCAGGCCCGCCTCGACGACGAGAGCTACTATCGACATGGAGCGGAAAGTCAGAGCGGAGCAAAAAGTGCAAACTCTGGATTGTCGTGATTTTGTGACTATTGCTATTAAACATACCGTAACTCGCTTATCACTCGTTTGACGTCAACTTTATAAAAAAGATCACATCTCCGTGTACGGTTTGATGCTTTACACAGAACTTTTTCGAGGCGAAAAATGGCGATGTTTGCTCAGTGCCAGACTTCATCGTGCACAGGCAGTCATGACGCATCTCTCTCTCTTTCTCTCTCTCTCTCGCTCTTGCTCCTCCAGCATTTGCACGTTATAATATAATACCAAGCGAAGACGAAGAAGTCGTTGTGAAAGTGATGGGATGGCCGGCTTCATTCAACCCTTTCCGCAAATGGTATTGGCTTGTTTGCCCGCCGCCCCCTCGCAAGGACTGTATAAAAGCCGGGGCCTGAGGGCTGGAAACACCAAGCCTTTCAAGCCCTCCAAGCCACCAAAGCCCACCCAAGCCTCCGAGATGCACTTCGTCTACAAGCTCGCTCTCCTCGCCTGCGTCGCCTACTTCGTTACGGTAGTGTCTTAGAGCTTTTCCAGCTTAACTAGCTATAGAGACACCAGGTAGCTAACTAAAATCTGAGCTTGAACTTAAGCTAGGCTTAAGCGAAACGTAAGCCTAAACTTAAACTTAAATCTAAACCAAAGCGCCTGAGCTAAGCCTAAGCCCAAGCCCAACTATCCTTTTTAGATCCCATTCGTTGACGCTTGCCAGAGCTCGCACAGCTCCACCAACTCGTCGAACAGCACCGGCCGCAAGAAGCGCGAGGCTTCCCAGGATGTCATTGTGAGTTTCCGCAAGATTCTTTGCTTGATAGCCTCGGGCTAAAAGCATTCTGACTTTCTAGGTCGTCCTGATCACCACCGAGGTCTACGATGCGTCGAGCACGGAGGCCGCCCTGCAGGTGTTCAAGGATGAGGTAGTTTCTCTCTTGCTCTCTCTCTCTCTCCTCTCTCTCTCTCTCTCTCTGGCGCTGTTTAGCTCTCACACTTTCTTTCTCTCGCTCATCTTCTTGTCTCACTCTCCGTCTTTCTATCTCTCTCTATCTCTCTCTATCTCTCTCTCTCTCTCTATCTCTCTCTCTCTATCTCTCTCACGCTACATTTTCCAGCTGACCGCCTTCGCCCGCGAGCAGAACGTGCCCAAGACCGACAAGCCGATCACCACCGAGGCCGTCAACGTTGCCGGCAACTTTGCTGCCAAGTTCACCGTCAAGGGCGGCGACTGCGAGAAGGCGTCCGGCTTTGTCCAGAAGGCCGTCGACCAGATCGATGGAGTAGGTTAACGGCATCAAATTTTGAAGGGATCAGGGCAATCCATACGAATTAGCATGAAAACCACGACTCCGCGAAGTAGTTTGTCCGACCGTAGATGAGACCTGATGCTCATCCCCTTAAATCGATCGAAAATTCTATATTTTTAGGTGAGCGGCGGCATCGTTACCTGCGCCACCGGCAACCCGAAGATCTTCCAGAAGAAGAACTAAGATTCTACCAAAAATCCACCGCGATCAACACCAATTTCTGTGAATGCTTGGGGGAATTTTCTGAATATGCTGCTTTAAAAATAAATTTATCACCGGCATTTGCAACCTGTTGACAGTTTTGTACAGTAATACAAGCTGGAAAAATGGTTAAATGCTTCGAATGTTTAAAAATTCACGATTCAGCTTCCACTAGAAATTGCACCAATCGGTATCGCAAAAACAAGAGATGAGTTTTGGCTCAAGGTGCTGGAGAGCGAAATTCGTTTCGCATCCGATTTCTGTGTCCATCACCACGGGGACGCACGCCCGCGAGAAGTGCAGAAATTCTGAAAATGGGAAAGTATTAGCTAGCCTTGAAATTTTGATCTGTGAAAAACCCATCCATAATTTTGTCATCTTGAAAACGTCGAAAAAGGCATTGCTCTGAATTTTGGTTAGAGAGAAAGAAAGAAAGGAAGAGAGAAAGAGAGAGAGAGAGAGAGAGAGAGAGAGAGAGAGAGAGAGAGAGAGAGAGAGAGAGAGAGTAATAGAGTAAGAGAAAAATAAAGAGAGCGGGAGAGAGGAAGAGAAAGAGTGATAGATAAAGAGAATGAGAAGGAGAGAGAGAAGGGGGAGAGAGAAAGGGAGAGAGAAAGAGAGAGAGAGAGAGGGAGAGAGAGAGAGAGAGAGAAAGAGAGAGAGAGAGAGAGATTGAACCAAATTAATTAATTCAGTTAATAGAAGGTTGAACAGGCTCAAAAAATATATTCTTCGAGCGACGAATTTCATAAAATCGCAGGTAAAATTGCGCTAATTTTAAGCTAGCGTTTCTGCATTTCAATTGCTATTTTCCCAAAATTGGAAGGAATAATTAAATTTACAGAGAATACGGTATATCTAGACAAGGGCTTACCATCCCCCGGCGTAAACGTCGCCGTCTTCATGCACATTCCTTCATTACAGTCAACGGAATCCATTTGGAGTGGCATCGGCTGTTGGATGTGATAGGAGCCATTGATGCATTTGAGGGCTGTGAGGAGAGGGAGGAGGGCGCAGAGAAACACAGTGACTAGCCGGAGGACCATCTAAAGAACTCGCTGCATTTCAAAAACCAGCAAAATCCATCGAAAAAAACTGCCAAAAATTTAAAAACCAATCTTTGGCAGCAAAGCACCGGGAATTTAATAATTTTTACAGACCAAAGAATAGCCGTATTTAAATACCTTAAATTCTTTTGAATATAAATTCAATTGCCAATTAAATTTAACCATAGTTAAATTTAATAAAATTTTCAATATTCTAAGTTGAACTTTTAAAATTTATGAAATTTTCAGAATGGTGAAAATGACTCAAGAATATAAAGCTTTTGTAGAGACAGATGCGTTCTAAATTTCAAAAAGTCTGGGGCCAATGGAGGAGCACTTTTTGCCAGGCCAACCACACACATGAAATGGCTGACAATGGGGGGTGGCCGCGGGCCGACAAATTTGTAGAGTAAATAGGGCAGTTCGCTCACTCTCTCTCACTCGCTCTCTCTCTCTCGCTCCAGGAGAGTAAAAGGGGCCATCCGAAAAGCCGCCAACAGATTCCGCAAACAACTCTACCCACAAATAGATAGAAGATAAAATACTCATTCGTGGAGGATAGAGAGAGAGAGAGGGAGAGAGAGAGAGGGTGAGAGAGAGCGGGTGCTAGAGAACGAGAGAGAGCGAGTGAGAGAGAACGTTAGTGAGGGAGAGAGAGCGAGTGAGAGAGAACGAAAGTGAGAGAGAGGGAGAGAGAGAGAGAGAGAGAGAGAGAGACCGAGTGGGGTAGCAGGAGAGCGAGGGATAGCTAGAGAGAAACGAAAAGATCGACTTCCCATGAATTTTCCAGCCAATTTCCAGCAGTCATAACATGCCAAATCTGATTCATAAATGCCTTGCAAAAAAGTCACGGCAATAAAATTCCTTTATACATCATTTTGTACAGAGCATTCATATGTACAATTGTTCATCGACATCAGATATTCGTTAGATGTGCTCGCAGACAGCCATGAACATGGCGCAGAAGAGGAGGCGCTCGTTGGCCCCACAGCAGGATTTGGCTTTTTCTAGATATGGGGAATTAACGAAAAAATCAAAAAATAAACCAGATTCAATCGAGGAATCGATCGAAAATCTACCAAAAATTTACCTGGTGAACTAGACACGCACCACTTGCAAACGTGCGTCCATCGCTCGGCCGGCTCGCCGGAGATGTCTGAAACTCATTTTTGAATTCGCGTATTTTTAAAGTCCAAGGAAGTGCCAAAATGACAAAATTGAGCGCCGCTGTAAGATTTCGTTGAATACCTGCTAAATCTTGGACGATTCCTTTTGGTGGATGGGTGGGTCCATGATGGAGATTTTCAGGCTTCTCAGGGATTGGTGTGGGGAGGGTATGGTCTCGGACGTCTTCTCCTTCTTCTGCTGCTCCGATGGTCTCATGACGGTAGTTGTCGCCTGGAAGGATTCTTGATCTCTCGATCTCTGTCTCTATCTCTCTCTCTGTCTCTCGCTCGCTCTCCCTCTCTCCCTCTGTCTCTCTTAAATACTTTCTCACGCACCCACTCTCTCACTCACAAACACTCTCTCTCTCTCCCTCTCGCTACCTCTCTCTCACTCTCCCTCTCTCACACTCTCTGTCTTTCCCCTCTCACTCTCTTACTGACTCCTTTCTAACTGACTTAGTTAAGCTACTTTCTAACACAAATTTGCATGAACGTACCATCCTGGCCAATCTCAGCATCGTGCGGGGTCGTCAGCCGGTATCCCTCAATCGGATGAGCATAGATTTCCGGTTGCCGAGATCCACGGGGGCGTAGGGTGTTTCGACGGCCTGTAAAATCTTTTTAAGAAGATTTTATGGCCCTATCCTTGAATAAAACGCCTTAATTCTCTGTCAGTTACTGTAGCCGACCCTCCTCTTTCCGATGGCGTTATTAGAATTGCGGTAAAATACCAGTTTACAAAGGTAAAGCCTGTTTTGCTCATTTTGAGGCTCATGGTGAGGGCGAATTTCCAGAATATTAAACAACGGGAACAATGGTTTTTTTTAAAACACGGATACCAGCGTCCAACGCCCGCGAAGCGGTTTTTCGGCGCTGGTTTAGAATAGTAGAAATATCGGGTCTCACAAGAACCAAAAACTCACCTCCAATGAGCGTCCCTTCCGGTGTGGTCATCCTGACCGGCTGCACGGCGTTCCGGGCAGCTACCGTAACCGCCACGGCAAACAAGAAAAGCGTGACTTTTAGCATGGTAGTGTTTGTTGGGTACTCGACCTGATTTCTCAAGCTTTTCCCCTTCCTTTTATAGGCCTTATCAGCGTGTATATTTCGAAATCCACGCGAGTTGCCCCAAAAAAGGGAACACGCCACAAAACAAACACACAATTAGGAGGGGGTGGGCCGGTGATAAAGCTTGAACTTTTCAATGGGCTAAGCACGCTTCAAGCAATGGAATAATATTTATTTGTACTTGAGACTGCAGAAGGGCCTCCCCGCTCGTCAGTCCAGGCGTTTTTTGGCCTAGCGTACACACGGAGGACAACATTTAACGCTGGATACTTCGATTTTTGCGGAATGTCAATAAAGTTTTGAAATACCAGCATCCTACTCTTGGTATTTTGTAAAACACGGTGTTTGTGTGTGTGCATGTGTACTTCCCAAAAATTTATTTCGAATTTCTTGAAAAAAGAAAGGTTTTATAGCTACGTAGGATACGTCATTACGTGCGTAATGGGCCCGAGATCATCCTGCATTTTTGCATTCATTAAAGTATGCAAAAAATGCTGTCTTCGCCATCAAAATTAAGATTTCCATTAAAAATGGGGGCTACACTTTACTTTACCCCCCAGCCGAAATTTTTTGACTATAACTTTTTCATTTTACACTATTGTAGGCTCAAATTAAAACACTTAGTATATTTTTTGACGCTCTATCAAATGGCGTTGCAAAAATCCCGACAAACTAAACGAAAATACCGAAAACTTTGACAACCTTCGGCTGTGGGGGGAGGGGGTAAAGTAAAGTCTTACCAAAATAGGGCGTCTTGGCGTCTCGGAAGTCTTGGTGTAATTTCTTATTAGTTTCATCAAGTTTTGGAGTTGCTTATCGCGCGAATTTTGAGCGAAGCAAGAAAATCGACCAGAAAAACGCAGATAAAAACCCGCAAGAGCTTCCGGGCCAACCTAGTTTTCGCAAATATTGAATGCCCAACGTTAGCCACTTTTCATTAATTGGTGCTTTACGTTGATTTTATCCCTTTGTGGATTTTATTCCTCGCTAGTTAAATTTGGTCTGATTTTGTATAAATAGACCAGCCGCTTCCAGCGGCTTCGCCGCTGCAAGCGGCTGGACTTCGGGCTACCCCCTGCACTCCCTCCCCCTCGCCGAAACGCGCGCGGCCTGGCTCACTATGTCCAAAATCACCCCAACCTTCGTCCCCCACCCCTTTTACTAAGGAAAAACTTTCAAAGTTAATTTTAATATTTTAAATTAAAACTTTTTAATAATTTTTTTATCAGTTTGGGGGTTTCTGACCATGCTCTATCCGAATCCGAAGAGAGCTAAGCTCTAGCTCCTTTCCCCTTCGAGTTGAATCTGGGACATGACGCACAGACAGACAGACGGACAGACACCACAGCAAAATTATTATAGTTGACAGTTTATTCGACCACTTGGCCCGCAGTAATAACATTGAGTGATTAATTAGAACCACTTTTCCATGCAGCGCACCGTTTCTTTCGCCAAGAATGTTATTTTGCCGTCGAAGGCCTGGACGAGTGCGGCGTCATCTAAAAACGTTGTTTTGTTACAGTATGAAGGAGAAATTCTCTTCAACTATTTTTGAGCATGAAAATTTTGCAGATTTCAAAAACAAAATCAATTTAGGCCGGAAATGGATTTTGCGACCCAAAATGGCAAAAATTACGACGTTTTCAAACTTTTTCCAACATTTTTGCTGCAAATAAAGTCAAAATGGCTGTCAACAGCATAAAACACTTTACATTCGATGACTATTACGAATACTACGATTGCCATTCGTTAATAACCCACCGCGATTATCTCCAAGCAGCTCATCTTTTTCCTGTGCATACCATGGTACTAATACTGACACGGACAGTACGTACGACATCTCGTAAGCTTTTACAAACTATAAAGATATAGTTTTAATTTAGGCAGATAAACACAAAAAATACCGACACCTAATATACAGCTAAAAATCCCGACAAGGATTTTAACCCAAATCCAAATAGCTTCTGTCGAAAAATCCTACCTGATCAAAATCCTCCCACGGCATCGGGCCCTTGATCGCGGCGGCCAATTTATTATAGTAGTGGCTTAGGTAGTATTTAATTCTGAAGGTATTTCATTAAATTTCAAAAGCTATTTTGATTACTTCTCAGGGTATTCCGTGGCGGAGAGGGCGCTATGAAGAAAATAGACCAGATCCTCGGTCGGGGAGCCAGTATTTGCCAACTGAAGTAATGGTTTTAGATTTCGATAGCTTTAATACGGGCAGGCTAGCAGGGATTGTTTGCGGAAAAGCCGTCAAAACTCGAAGTTACGCTTATTTTTGCTAGAAAATGCGCAACATGCCTAATTTTTGAATCTCGTACCCGCCTGAAAAATTAGAGTCGAGGGCCAACTAGCAGTGATCCTTTGCGGAACTTTCCGGTACCTGCCAATCCAAAATAACGGCCAGCCGGAAGTCGCCGTCGGTCGTATTCCAGAGAATATTCGGGGTCCAGAGATCGCCGTGGCACAACACGCAGTAGGCACCTAATTTGGATCTCCCTCTCTCTCTCTCTCTCTCTCTCTCTCTCTCTCTCTCTCTCTCTCTCTCTCTCTCTCTCTCTCTCTCTCTCTCTCTCTCGCTCTCTCTCTCGCTCTCTCTCTTCTCTCCTCTCTCAATCTCTCACTCTATCTCTCTCACTGTTCCTCTCTCGCTCTCTCGCTCTCACTCTCTGCCTCTCTTTCGCTCTCTTGCTCTCCCTCCCTCAAAACCACCCACTCGTCGACAATCGAAATTTCAAAAAATCTTCAAAATCCCCAAAAATTCGGGGAGTCTTGTTGAGCATCCGATCACAGTCGGGCGCCAACTCGGGGTAGATGTTTTTCATGTTTTCGAGCCTTAGATTGATTGACTAAAAGATTGGCATTTTGGATTTCCGAATCATCAAAATACCTCTAATGTTCGGCCTCCTCTTAAAAGAGTTTCGATGCCCGCGTTTGTCCATTTATCGAGTGTTTCCGGGTGGTTTCTGGCTGAAAAACATAGCTTTCTCTCTCTCTCTCTCTCTCTCTCCTCTCTCTCTCGCTCTCTCTCTGTCTCTTTCACTCTCTCTTCTCTTTTGAAGACCTACAGTATGCCGCCAGTTTAGCCATCTCGTCAAGAACATCAAGTACACCCGTCTCCTCCACCTGCTCATAGATATGCCTCATCTGACCCGTGCTGAACTCCTCGGCCAAGTACCCTAAAATCACTTGATTTTTAAAGAATATTAGTCTTGCAAGCCCAATTGTTAGCTTCAAAAAAAATCTCGGACCGTACCCATCTCAATCCCGTCCTTGCCAAACTTCCGGCCACAATAGAACTTTGGGATTCGCAGATCTGGGGCGATGCCGAAGGCCTCTCTGTCCGCGCTGAAGAACTGGAGCTCGGTGTCGGATAGCTAAAAATTTCCGGCAATTGCACATTGCTGTTTTTAAGACAGTGCTTACGGCAATGAAGGTTATTTTTTCAGAATTCTTTATCCGCGTCTCTGGTTTTTCATTAGTGCATTAATTTTGCTTGAAAATTTTTTCCTGTGGTTAACTAACTAACTACCCGTTCGCAACCGGGTACCCGGACCCGCATACCAGATTACAACTCTAGCTGTGGCGCCTTTTCCGCGGTGTTTTCAAACAAATTTGTGCGTACCGAACCCAGTTTTCTAATGTTTTTTCTGTCTGCGTAGCTGTCATTGACGCGATTATGAAAATTTTGAAAGTGGTGACCGAGGGTTTGAATTTAGTTTCGTGAATTTAATACAGTCTTTCTCCTCGCGTCATTTGGTCTGGCACGTAGCCGTCGACACGCAGTTTCCCATAATGGCCGATTTCTGGTTTACAAATCCCTTAATTTCGCACATACGTTAGCTTTCGCCGTTTCGCCCACAATCTTGACGACGGCAACCTTCGGAAGTCTCTGCGTCTCTTCTGGATTTCCCTGCCAATCGAAATCGACTTTGGCCATCTTCGAGATGAAACCCTGAAACGTTTCATTTCATACGATTCAAACGAAACGGAATTCCAGGCGCGGCTTATTTGAGGTCTGGCTAAAAACAAACTGAAAACCTACCGCGCCCTTTCCGACTTGTTTGATGGTAATGGCGGGGCCAAAAGTGGCATCGGTTTCTAGTGCCGCTCGCAGGTCTGCTTCCAAAATTTCCAGCGTCAGCGGCGTCTCTAGGATCGGCCGGGCGGCCCCCGCAAGGCCCATCTGAATCGGAGTTTGTAGGCGTTTGGCTAATTATTTAACTGGATGTCACGCGCCAGAATCTGCCACGCGTCACAAGGGTTCTCGAACGTTACTTGCTGCTGCATCAGAACACGCGCAAACAGAGTTTTCTGAAAGCTTACGCCATTTAATTGAATTGTCTTGCTGAGATGCCGCCCCGACTACTAGCTTTAAAGGCACTATGAGGTTCGAGAAACGACCCTTATTCTCGACTAGGTCTCCCCAGCCAGTTGCCACGACAAGATACGCGCAAGACGCGCTTTTCTTAGCCAGTTATGCCCCTTGATTAATCGGATTTTCGAGTGAGATGCCAATACAAACAATGCCGCTTTTTTGAGGATTGCTATAAGGAGCTATGTAGCTAGCACTCCGTAATTTGATGGCGTAGTGAATTACGATAGGAAATGATGGGTAAATTTTCACTTTACCTCCCCCGCCCGGCAGTTTCGAAAAGTTCTTTCTATAACTTTTTATATTACTTTATTTTGGGCTGTGATTAAAAGCCCTAGTGTATTTTTTGATGCTCTATCGAATGACGTGGCCAAAATCCCGATAAAATGGCGGAAATTTCGGCTGGTGGTAAATAAAGTCTAGTTAAAAAACTATGCTTGAAGTTATGTAGGTCGGTCTTTCTTAGGAAACCAGTGACACTTTCCATGTTAACAAAATTTTAAAATATCAAAAACATACGGTAACCCATAGTAGGCACCACATATCCCCCGAAATGATTTTTCGTCGGAATGCGGTAGGGAATGTGCGAAATAATCCGAGCGTTAGGGTAGCAAAAATTGAGGTACCCGATGAGCAGCAATCACGTGTAAATAACAGAGGCCACCGCTCCCGAGAGGCGGAATGTAAATAAAACAGAACGAAATGCACCAAAAAACGGTGTCAGTGTCCCCCCGGGAATTCCTGGATAATGCGGTTGGGATTCGATAAAAAAGGGCAGCGCCGCCCCCGCCGAATTTCATTGCCTATTATTAGCATGCCGATCTTGTGTCGACCTTGCAAAAATACCGAAAAAATTGTTCCTGAAGATCAAATTTTCTTGGGAAAAACTTTCCAACTACAAACAAACAACAACTACAAACTTTAAAGGGGAATGCAAATGAAGCCGTGATAGGTTCGAATTCTAAGAGATTGGGGTTGAAAACTCGGCAAAACAGCAGAAATGCCGACAAGCAAAATTTTCGGATCTAAAATACCGACAGCCGAAAATTTCGGCAGTTAAAAACCCGTGAACCATTCTATGTGGACCGCCAATATACTGATGTTCAAAAATGCCAACAACTAAAAGTTAAGGCAGTCCCCCCGAAATTGCTTCTTTTGACTGCCGATATTTTGGCTGTTTTAGTTATCGGCATTTAAATTGTGTAAAGCATTTCTAGAAGTTAAATTCGAATGCAAAAAAAAAACTATAAATCTTCTGGAAACCGTTTCCAAATATAAAAAATGTTTCAAAGAACAAGTCTGTCTACTGGTTGCTTGCTCACCTTCATTTCCCCTTCTTTTACCGACTCTCTCTCCCTTTCTCTCTCTCTCTCTCTCTCTCTCTCTCGCTATCTCTCTCATACAGACTCGCACAGACCTCACTCCCACCAATCTCCTACATTTCCGTCTCCTGATTTCTCCCGTTTTCCGTTTTGAAAGTCTTGGAACAAACGGAAAAGTAAAGGAATTGGTGGGGACTGGAACAGAAATGGCATCCAAAAAATGTCGTAGCAATCATGGCACAAATACGCACTTCTCCATCGTGAACTACACGTCACGTCGCTCCGAAATTTTTTGAAATTGATTTTTTTATTGTGCAACTCATTCATTGATTCATCTGAGAATCATTATTATCGGGATCTCACACGCAAAAGGAAATTAAGTGCCGAACCATATCACAGATTGAGTGTAAATCAGACTATTATCGGAAGCTGCTACGGGTACCACTTCTCGCACAGTCGGACGACCTCCTTGGCCAGGAAGACGACCTTGGCGTCGAAGGGCTTCTGGGCATTGTCTAGAAACAGAATTGAGCATTTTATGTCCCTTTAAAAGCAACTTGTTACGTCCGTGTAACCTAACGCGTAGCCAAGACGTTTTTGGCGCGTGTCGACGGTTTTCGTTGCTTTCCCGGCCAAAAAAAGTGACGCACCAGCCGGGTTCGCGAGAAAATCGACGCGTGCATCGGCAAACCAGGCAAGCATGATGAGGATGATGGTGATGAAGCGGTGTTCGTAGTCGTCTACCAGCTACAACGACCATTAAAAGAAATTGAGAGAGAGCGAGAGAGAGGGAGAGTGAGGGAGAGAGATATAGAGAGACCGGCAGAAATAGCGTGAGCTAGAGAGAGAGCGGCAGAATGGGCATGAGATAGAGAGTTAGAAAGCGAGAGAGCTACAGAGAGAGACAGAGAGAGAGAGAGAGAGAGAGAGAGAGAGAAAGAGAGAGAGACTGAGAATTAAATAGCTCTAAAAAAGATCCAACCTGCTGAAAATCATCCCACAACTCCATGCCACCACTCTTCGCCTCTAGCTGATCGTAGAAGAAGCGCAGTTTCTCGATATACCTGACAAAAAACACCGAATAATTTGGCGCAAAAGCGGAAACTCACTTGCTAACGTATTCCTCTGGGGGGAGCGAGGAGAAGAGATGGAAAATCAGATCCTCGACCGGGGTGTTGGCGTGGCAGAGCTATAATCGAAGAGTGAGAGCGCGAGATAGAGAGAGAGAGAGAGAGAGAGAGAGAGAGAGAGAGAATGGCTAGAATCCAACGAACCTGCCAGTCGATCACCGACACCAACTTCCCATCCCTGTGCAGCAGATTCGGGGCCCACATGTCGTTGTGGCAGAAGACGGGCTTTTTGCCTAAAACGCAGCGGCTTTTTGGAGCCAGAGAGAGAGAGAGAGAGAGAGAGAGAGAGAGAGAACCCGATAGATACCCACAATTCCCCATCCACCGTGCCCAGGCGTTGACGAGAATCCTCGGGGTCTTTGCAAGGAGTATATCGATGGAATCAGATGCTTCCGGCACCTGACCCTTCAGCCGATGTAGGCGTTCATCGGCTTTCTGAAATACTGGGTTCACACTTCCGTATGGCAAACATTAATCTCCATGAAGAACCATAACGATTTCAGGACAGTTTTGTAAATCCCAAACGCACCTCTCGCTGCGCCAGGTCGGCCCACAATTTGTCATACGTCGGGTCGTCCCAGCGCTCGACCAGCTCCGGGTATTTCAAGGCTAAAATGAACGTATTCCTTTAAAGTTTAATCGCTCCTCCACTGCCTTGGAAAAAAAGGAATTAAAAAATACGCTGGCAATTTCGAAAAATCTCTCACATTTGGCCGTCATATCGGCAATATATTCGAGGGCCTGGTTGGTGACCGAGTCGGGCAGGTTCTCCCAGATCCTCGTGTTCGTCACGTTGTCTTGGAATTCGATGGCAAAGTAGCCTAAAATGTATTGTGAGTACTTGTTAATGCTAGCCTACCAGTGCCAGTATCAAATTTCCGGCCGCAATAGAATTTGGGTTTAGGGACGGCGGCAAAAATCTTTCCGTCTCCCTCGTCGGCGGCGCTGTAGACGGCCAGCTCGTAGTCGCTCATCTGAAATTTTCTGATCCTTATAGATAGGCGGGTCTATTGCAGTAGACGACGGTTTTCGAAGTCTGGCCGATGCCCCCAGCATTGATTCCTGGCAAATAGCCAAATGGGGCGGGCCGCAACGTGACCGCGTCAGATGTCTTCTAGTCCCTGATTGGACGGGAAAACGCGTGAATTTGCCAATTCTGACGTTATTTCTGGAATCCTCAGGCTATTTTGATCATCTAACCGATTTAGTTATTAAAATTAGCCAAAGAATCACCGAACAAAGCGGCCCGGCTCCTAATAAAACCTCCGGTAGCTTTGGAAAGGAGGGAAGACCGCGACGCGCGCGATAGACGCGTTGCGCAATTACGAAAGCAGGCCTGTGCAGCTAAAAACTGGTTACCACCCGCACGCAACGCGTGAAAAACACGCACAGTACGCCCTTTCCCATAAACCATCTGGACCGAACCCATGGGGCGGTTGTGCGAAACGGTAAATTGGGTGCTAAACAGAGCATTACAACATGTAATTGCAGCGTGTTCAAAAGGTAGTTTTCGCTCCAAAAACATTTCCAATTTTTTCAAAAATGATGCGTTTTTGACAGCGAAATCAATTTGTCGATATTTTGGGGCAGTAACCTTGTCGTTTTTTGACCAGTATATTCATTCCCTGCCCAGGTGAATTTTGACTTCCTAGCCCCTTTAAAGAAAAAACGTACGGCAGCGGCCATGTCGGCATCACCATCGGTCCCACTTCGTTCCATCGAACAAATCTTGACGACGGCACAGTGAGGTAGCTTGTCGGCCCCATCACCTTGCCAATCGAAGATCAGTAGGGCGATGCGGGCCAGGAACCCCTGAAAAAAAAGTTAGACAGAGTTTTAGAACGGAATTCCATTGAACGGATGGGGATTTTGATAAGATAGAATTGATACTGATTTTTATTTTGATAAGTTAGATAGAAAGGAAAGAATTTTGAGAGTACATTAGGAAGCAAACGCTTACCACTCCCTCGCCAATTTGCTTGTAGCTATGGTTGGGCCCACGGCGGGCTTCTGATTCGAAGGCTTTTCGCATATCTTCTTCGACAATCTCCCAGGTGATGTTGGTGCCCAGGATGCTCATTTTCTCAAAGAAATACATTTAAAACGCTTTGGTTTGTTAGACGAAAATATTTAATATCACTGTGCAAAAAATTAAGCCAGAAATTGTAGCAACAACAAGCTTTTCAGGATTTTATCGACCGAAAGGTTGTGAATAATAATAAAGCTAAACAGAAGAAAAGAGGTGCGGATCGCTACCTTTGATTAAAATATACTTTGCTGTGTAAAAGTTTATAAGAGAAATTTTGGATGCAAAATTTGTTGAACGTTCAGTGAGGTCAAAAGTTGTAAAGATCACACCGACGGAAATGGCGAGTGAGAAGTGCTCGTGGGCCTGGGAACCGATTACGCGAGGAAACGGGTGCGGTCGAGGGAACACAGAACAGATGAGGGACCAGACGAGGACACGTCGGGTCGGGCCTCTCCGAGAGCCGGTGACGAATTTCCAGCAGCAAAAATTGCATTGATAAGCGTTCACGTGACAGGGAGGACTATTTTTTAAATGCTTTCTAAGCATTTTTAGATGCTTTTTGGGTTTTTAGGATTCGCGGGTGGGGGGGGTGAGGGGGTGGGGAGTATTCCCGGCGGGGGGAACCAATTGTTTAGTAAATTTTAATTAGATTGAAAGTAGAAACACTTTGAAAAAGGAGTTAGAAAAATGTTTGGAAAAGTCCGAAATTTGGTCATTCTGGGTCCTTCGCCGCACGCGAATCCTAAAGTATACATGGGGCGATGCCTGCATCCGCCGCATAGGCGTGACTGGCCACGCTCTTCCGGAGCGTGGAGACCCACGCTTATGCGGCCCTTTATGCGTGCTTTTTCACGCGCGCTGTTTAACTCCAGATGCAAAGCAGGAATTCGAAGGACATATATTTACGATTTCGATTTGCTAAAATGGATTACCGATACACAACTATCAAGTTCATCTTTAAATTTACATAAATAAACATCATAGGCAGGGATTCAACTTTTTGTTCCTTAACTTCTTGAAAACGTTGCGTTTGCTTTCATGATTTTTGCGATTTTTGCGTTCATGTGCTTTGGAAAACTATGGTTTTACATCTTTGAAAACTTTGCATAAGTGTTTCCCGGGGAGAGCGAGCGTAGGAGGAGAGAGCGTATGCATAAGAGACACGCGCGCCAGCGTAGCTTTTTGCTAATGTCTGCAGTTTGGCCTGCATTGGCGGTCTGAGGTTCAAAGTAGAAAAATATCCCGTTTCAAATTTTTCGAGAGCATTTTCGTGCGTTTTGCTCGCCTAAAATGCCGCGTTCCAGCGGATGTGCGTCTGCCGCTTGAAAAATTACACGATTCCATGCAGGAAATAATGGCGCATCTTTCTATGAAAAAGCCGTAAACTTTATTCCAAAAATTCACACGTATAATCTGTACATTCAGCCGTGATTCACAAACGGAGAGAAAAAGAAGAAGAAGAAGAAGAAGAAGAAGGAGAAGGGGGACAGGCCAAATTGTTGAGCGGGGGCCCAACGGCCTTACGATTCGTTTTCCCGCAGATGCTCGGGTAGTAGATCAGCTCCTGCTTGAGCAGCACCGCGCGGCGAACGCAATTCTGGGCACTTTGGTCGTACCTGGAACGGAAATTCGTGATAAAACCCCGGAAAGGGCGGCGAAAAAAGCGGGAAATCTCGGTGCAAACGCGGGAACTAACCGATGGCAGCCCTTTCCAAAGTTTTCCCGCTTGCATTTGAGGATAGCGGTCGGCGGGGTGATGCAGTCCCTTGTCAGCGCGCACAGCAACAACCTGATGATGTACAGGTATTAAATGCCATCCATCAGACTTCGACGCATTACAGGGTGTCCCATAAAAAAGCACCCCTCCAGCATTTTGCCATATTACATCCGGTCGGTCCAAACATTCGACCAGGGCTGTATTAGAGCCTAAATAACCACAATCCTGAGTTATAGCCCGCCAGCTACAACACTTTTTGAGATACAACAAAAATAAACTTTATTATCCGCTTTTCATAAGTTTTTCGTCGGAATCGACCCTTCGAATATTAATTGACAACGAAGCGGCAAGCCTTCTTTATCCCTAGTAATTTTTTTTGAACAAAACGAATCAAATAACCGTTGATTTTAACAATTTTGTACCCCAAAGTCACCCCCCGATTTTCAGCGAAATTAGGGATTCGCCGCCGGAAGTCGATGCAAATCGATGCAAAGTCCAAAAATATAGCCGAAAAAACTGTTAAGAATCGCATAAGAAATTGGGATTTTTTTTGGAACACACGACGCAAAAGTATCGGATCGAGACGATATTTACACCATTCGAAAGCCCTTGAAACGGCCAGTTTGTAGCAATTCTGAAGAGCATGCCTTTTATTTAACCGGGCATTTAAGAAATTAAGGAAGCGAGGCAGAAATTTACACAATGGCTTGTAAATTTCGGTTTTAAATATAAGCATGGTTTTAAAGATTGTTGCAAACTCGCGATTTCAAGGGCTTTCGTTTGGCATAACTATCATTCCGAGCCGACACTTCTGCATCGAGTAGAGGGGATTGTTCTTATTGGGACACCCTGGAAAGGGGCTCCGAAATCTGGTCCACGACCCCTGCCTTTATTCCTGGCAAATAGCCAGATGGGACCGCCACGCGACCGCGCCGCATGATCTTTTACCCCTCTTTGGACGCGCACCGCCTGAATTTAAAAATTCTGACGCGATTTCTGTAATCGTCATCGAATTTTGATCACTCTAGACTTTTTAATTATAAAAATTGACCAGAGAATCACCGAAATTGGGTGCCTCGCCAGGCATTACGACATGTAATCGCCGCGCCGTCAAAAAGTCGTTTTTGCCCCAAGAACTTTTTGGATTTACTCGAATATTTTACGTTTTTTTCGCCACGAAATCACTTTTCCGGGTTTTTGGCAGTAATCCTTTCGTTTTTTTTTTTGACGGATTCAATCCCCGCACGCCCGAGTTTTGACTTCCGAGCCCCTTTAAGATTGGATCAGATCATACCATTTCCCAGCCAGCTTGGTGACCCGGCTCGGACGCATGAAGATGTGCGAGGCCCCATGCTGGTTTTGACGCGCGAGTTTTGCGGGGTACGGCAGATATCCGAGCATGGCTGGAAAACAGCTAGTTTGAGGTTAGGCTCCGAAATCCAAACTAGGATCAGTGTAGGCGCCCTGTTTGGAGGTTACGTAGCCCTCCATCAAGTAGTCAGGCGCCTAGAATTCTGACGACGTTTGGGGGGGGCTCTGCCTTGCTCTCTCTCTCTCTCGCTCGCTCTCTCGCTCTCTCGCCCATTTCTATAAGCAACATGGACTGACCGTGCCATTGTTCACTCCCTCGTAAAAATTCGTCACACATCCAACAGTCTTGAATACCACTGATGTGTCGAGCATCCAGAACGGGCGACCATCAGTCAACATTTCCTAAAAGGGCTGTGGTTCCGCTTACCCCCCCCCCCCAGCCGACCCCCACCTACCGTATCTCGGCTCCCCGTTCATCTACAGATGTGTAAAGTATACCAAAATACTTGACAGAGCAAGACAAACATTTTGATATACTCTATACACCTGTAGATGAACAGGGAGCCCAGATACAAAAGCTGGGTGCCGGCTGGGGGGTGGGGGGGGGGGGGGGCGGGTAAACTGAACTCTTACGTGCATTTTTTTGATTGGTTTGTTGATGTTCGGTTGATCAAGGAAAACCCCACAGCAATGATGAACAGCTTGAACGCGTAGTTATAAAGAAACGTCGTGTGTGGGGGATAAGCGGAGAAGTCGAAGCGACGGATGGACAGGTCGCAGACTTGGGAAAGCTCAGCCTCCTAAACGTACTGGATAACGACTTCTTTGCGGTTCAAAAGGCCCCGAAGTGCCCACGAAAAGTCCATCTTTCATTTCTAGTAAATTGGCAGCGCGCGGCTCGTCAAAGGGCACTTTAGTAAGGGGCAAAAAGACTAGCAACCGTGAAAGCTGATTATGGAGCGAAATTGCGTCTGTTTTTGGATTCCCTATGTTAAAACGGGTTCTGGCCGCATTTTGCTATTCTATTTTCCTTTTTGGCGAGTATTATTTGATTTTGTGTTAGAGCCGACGATCGGTGAAACATTGGCGCAAAAAGCAAAGCAAAGATCACCAAAATGAGGGAGTTTGCGCCGCAGAGGAACCGAACCCGGGGGGTGTGGGGGGCTCGCTTGGGAGGTTAACCCACTATCCGCGGGGGAGAGCGCGCTGTTTTTGCCCGAATTCTCCTGGGAAACACTGCAAGTCGCATATTCTGATCTCATTTCTGAAATCCCCTCTCAATTCTGAATAGTTTTGCTGTCCTCGTCCTCGAATTTGACCCATAAATTTCTGAGAGCTGCATGGTTCTGGAAGTGATTGTGCAAAGTGCATAGCCGTGCGAATGGCACTTCATTATTTCTTTAAAGGCGTCTCCTTCCCCACCTCCTCTTCTGCCAGCCCCATATTGAAGAAGATGATTCGATTGTTCGGGAACTGTGCGCGAAGGCCACGCACGCTGCGACGGGCCTCACGAAAATGGTCCCTGGACGCGTACATTGCAAAGAGGACGTCGTCAGCCCTAAAGAAACCTCCAGTACACGCTTCGGTTCGTGAGTCTTCGCGGGAAAGGGGGAGCGGCGCCAACTTTTTCGGTGCGCTAACCCAAATTTCTATGAATCAGACTGAGAAATTTGATTAGCATTTGAAAATTTCCTAAATTTCAAAAGATTTCTAAATGTGGTTAGAACAAAATACCAAGAAAAAAGTGAATTTTTGATCCAGGGGCTCGTTTCGCCAAAAAAAAACAGCCTGAATTTCAGCCAAGGGGGGATAAGCTGCACTTAAGCTTTCACTGATTGCGCTACCGGATATTCTCGGCTGGGGCTGCATTGATGTGTTGCTGCGTCAAGTTGAAGCGTTTGAGATACGGCAAAAGCGACGGAGAGAATGGCTTCCCAACGACTCCATCCACCTCTAGGGACCACTGAAATGACATTGGTTAATGTACGGTCCCAAAATTGGAGCAGAGGTGCATTGTACCCTA